TTTTTTGGGGTTTAATTTAAAGAAGAAGTGATGGTGTGTATTTAAAAGTGCATGAAGATGTAGCTAAGATTGGTGTGGGATATATAACAGGACAATAAGAAAACGGAAAAAGACAGCTCTCGTTTTTTTGACAACTCATTCTGTCCAAAAGATTCAATATCGTTGGTAATATCTCGAGAGCTATAGGGGTTAATTTAATTTGAAAAGTTTACAAGCACAAAAATTCATGGTAAGAAAATTGATAACAACAAGGTGGCACATTGATGTGGATGTACAAAGTGGACGAGTACTCCGCCTGCACGTACTGTCCATTGAACTTTATTAAATTCAATATAGTCTTCTTAAATTGTTAGATAACAACTATATACTATATGTAGAAAACAATTTACCCGAACCCTCACGCTGTGGAGAAATGGCCATTTTTTACCACTCAGTGAATGAGGATCAATTTGAATGGTCGTAGGATTCTATACATAACAGATCTACAAATTTAGTGACAACATTTGCATGGATTGGCACTTAATTAAGTTTCCTTAGTATTTTAAAACTTTTCATCTTTTTACTGTTTCTTTTTTTTAATTTAGCAAGTAAAAGACAAAATTACCATCTGTTTAAAAACTAACAAAAGTTGAGAAAATACTTTTTTTTTTTTTGCAAAACCATGGAGATTAGATTCCACAGTTTTACAGTTCACATGAACGATGTGGTTGTGCTAACTACCGGAGAGACCTCCATCTTTGGGAGTTAAATTAAGCTCGTACTTGATCGTCCTATAGTACTATGTAATCATTAATTATACTGATGTGAATCGACAAATCACTTGTTGAAAACAGCTCCAGATTAATATAAGACTTGGTTTTGAATTGCCGATCATATCATCGGACAGGAAAAGCTGCAAGCACAGATTTATGGTTAAAATTTTGAACAATAAAAGATGCCACATTGATGTGGATGTATATGTGGAGAAAAACTTATTTTTCTATTTATTAAATTTCGAATACACGAGGCAATTTTTGGTACGTTGTCACTTTTCAGGCCGTCATATTATACTTTTCTGTGACATTTTTATTTTCCATTTTTTTTTAAATGACAAACAGAAAAAGGGTTTACAAAGTAACTTCTATAACAAGAAAACCCCAAAAGTTTCCGATAACAATTAACAAGTATTTACATTTTTTTCAGTTGATACCACTAACAGTTTAAAACTAAAATTATCCGTCTAAAAAGCCAAAAATAATTACAGAAAATATCCAAACTAATTTTGTAATTTCTTGCGATTCATGAATATTCATAAGCTCTATAAGCATGATTGCATCGACTGACGTTTGATGGACCAAAGTTTGGAATTTTAGATTGGGAAATATATGCGAATGATTTATTTGGGTACCACACTTAATCTGATGGAATAATATAGTATAATAATATTGAGGCTGTAGATGAAAGAGCAATAAAGAGACCTTGGTGAGCTGTGATCAGTATGAAGAAGTAATAGAGGTTTAAGAAAACTTTTTTGGATGTAAGTGAGAGTGTTGTGATAAGCTCATCTCAACCGCCACCAACTTAATTACGTCTCTCTCTTTTACTACAAAGCCATCATCAACGCTTACTCACACCATCTGCGTGTACCTACGTCCTTTTCTTTTTTTCCCTTATTTCATTAATTCATCAACTCACATTCATTAACGTTATAATTTAATATTTAACCAAATACCATTATATAACTTAATAAAAGATACAAAGTTAATAAAACCTGAATTTTTCTTTGCGTAGAATTGATATATAATCGAACAAATAATTGAGGAAACTATTTTTATTTTTATTATTTTGCTGAAGAGAATTTTTTTTTTTACTAAGAGCATCTCCAACCCTGCTCCATTTTTTGCTGCAAACTCCATTTTGAAGTAAATTTCACTCTAACCCTACTCAATTTTTGACTGCAAAATAGAGAAAAAATAGAGATTGCTCCATATTTGGAGTAAACCTTTATTCTACTCCATTTTGCAGCTATATTTTTTTTTATTTATAATCTGATCTTTCAAATATTAAATCATTATAATTTTATACTTTTTATCAACACAGCATTATTTTCGACATTATATATGACTATATGCATTTTTTTCAGATATACACTTAATATTTGTATGACACATATCACTTTGACTTTTATATATATATATATATATATATATATATAAAATTAAAAATAGTCTTTATGTATGTATATATATATAACTATCGGTTTAATAATTAAGTTTTTATTTTATGATTCATGTTTATAAGATTTTTTGACAAGATTATAGGACTTTAATAGTTTAAAAAAATATAAAATAGACAATCATAAATATTTGAACACTAAAATTTTTATTTCAAAATATTACAACTTAAAATAAACTGAAAAACACACAACAAGTGCTAAAATCAAAGATAAACATAAAAGTTTAACACAACAAATACAAACAATTTAATATTCTGCTAAATCGCTTCCTGATCTACCGATATCATTAAAATATTGTCCAAACGAAGTTGATGGATGAGGAAATTCTTGATTTTGTTGTTGAGCATTCCGCTTTTGTAAAATTTTTGTTTGTTCGCCTTGAACATATGCACGAATATTTGGATCTGATATGGAACTCATGTCATAAAATAACATTTTGTTTTCCATTTTCAGCTCTTTCAAAAAGCATAGTTTAGAGGGAGATCCGCTAGTAAGCTCGTCGGTATCATCTAAGTTTAAAGAAAATGAAGACAAACCTGGAGATGCTTGTGTAGGAGAATCAATGGAATTTCCAAACTCGAACGATGTATACTCGGCACGAGGTGGGATTAATATGCATTTAGGATCGGCACCATCTTTAAACTTTTCAAAGTTTTTAATAATATTCCAAACATGTTCAAATTTCCAACTTGTTTTGAACTTTGGATCTTCTTGTAGCATTAGTTTGGCTTGACTGAACTGCATATCAATAAAAACAAAATGTTACTATTCAAAAAGTAGGAATACAATTCCTCTACAAATCAAAAATAAAACATAGCCTTAAATTTCTTATGTTTTTATGATTTTATGTAATTTTTTATTTAATAAATATTTTAATTTTATTAAATTCGTAAATTATATATATTTTAGATAAAATAAAAATAAATGGGTTATTTTGTAACTTCTAAAAGTTGTAGGTTATTAAAAGTAAAAGAAAAATAGAATTTATTAGAAATATTCCTTTTTGGAGTCAAAAATGGAGTCATATATTGGAGCAAAACACAACTCTATTTTGGAGTTACTGTATTTTGGAGTAAAAAATGGATATTTACATTGGAAATGGTCCAAAAGTTAAGACCATATATTATATGTTGTCAAGATCACGCGTGTACTTCGTGTCAACGCGTTTACTTTTGTGAGAGCAGTGAGAGTAGTCTAGTTAGAGGTTATTACTAATAATGAAGAAGTTAATGTTTGCCGGTGTGTTTGGTTTGCAGGTCACTTCATTCTCATTTAGTATAAGTTTGTTTTTTCTTGGGTTTTCAAAAGAAACCAAAACTGTCAAATTCTCTGACTTGTTCACAATTATTTTAAGTGATTAGTTGAATTAAATATCACATGTCTCTTTCATTGTGTCTTACTGATTATTTTTGCTTATAAATTTAAAATAAACAGAATTCGTAAATGAGTTATTTCACATTGTTTTTTCGAGTTTGAATAATCATCATATACGCAGAGCATATACGTATTTCACATAATCGTTTTTTGGGTGGTTATTCCTTTCTGCTTAAAAAATAAGTGTATCGTGTAGAAAAATCCATGCTAGAAAAGTGGTATATAAATATACATATCAACTAAAATCAAAATAAAAAGAATTTGCCATTCAATATTATTGAGTTAGACTTGTACTAAATCAAAGGGATATCAAAGGGCAAAGCCCAATAGAATAACCTGATGAGGAAATAAGGAGATTGAAAGTGAGACTAATTATACCAAATCTTATGTGATAGTAATCTTTTTTTAATGCAGGGCAAAATATGAACAACGTAGACGTGTAGAATATGGGTTCTCTAAAGATAGTATCTCTGATAACTTTGAATTGAGTCACTTTTTACAACGACGTCTTAACTGAAAAATTTATGACTACGGCAGATAGATATATCGAAGACAAACTGGTATACCTCCCATGTTTGCACACGGAATAAATAATCTTCAAAGACTTATTCAACTAACTTCCAACCACAATTCTTTTTTTCCTATTTTTTAGAGTAACACTATTGCTGCGGCGAATGATGGACATTTTTAGCAACCAGCCATAATAATTTGTCGGTCATCTAACAACATTAAGTTTAATTTAGTTTTGTTTTTTTAAGATTAAAACTCAATAATTTAGTCACCAATTTCACTAAAATCAATTTTGCTAATCCTTTTTTTTCTTCTTGCCTTTCGTTACTTCGTAAATGAAATGATAACATCATAAACTAAATGGAGGTACTATGGAGGATTACTCGAAGCGAGTTCCAAGAAAACTTTCCAAGTTTTGTAGAATATACTTGGATATATTATGCTGGACTAACAAAAAGGGTCGTTAAACTAGATATATAGCATGAAAACATAACTAAAATATCGACCTTTTTTTTTTAAATAGAATATATGGATTCACAAAACTCGATAATTTGAGAGATATAGTTTCTTCTTCGTTGCATGATCGGCTTGAACATTTCGGAGGCCTAAAACAAGATTACAACTTTGTGAGCCGGTGACCTTTGTCCAAAATCTGTAATTTCATTTCACATTGAATTACATTTTCTAACATTTTTGGATATATATAGTATAGATTTATAATTTTCAATGTGAGAAATTAATATTTTAAGAAAAAAAATACGGAATATTACTAGATAATATAAAGAGGAAAAGGAAAAGTGAAGAACAAAAAAAAACTCCATCGCGACAATGGAAGGTCCAATTTAGTCCAAGGATGAAACCAAGACCACCTGACAAAGATAAAACTGAAGAGAATGTGGCTTTTTATTTATTTAATTCCAATATGAAGGAAGCCTAAGACTGGTACACATGGGCTTTTAAGCCCAGAACAGAACCGGCTTGACAATTTGAGATTTCGAATTTCATTTCTACTTATATTCACAAGTAATGTCCGGATCCGAAAGACGTTTAGTTTGTCGATACGGGTACGGATCCTCCTAAGCCAATATATAGGTCGGATATGTAATTATTGAGATCTTCAGGGGTGAATCTGATAATATCACCTGACCCGACCGGGTATCTCTTATAGAAACCCGTATACCCGGGCATGATCTTTTTCGCTATGGAGGCTTTGATTTCGTCTCTCAACTTCGGGTCGGGTACGACCCAAGTCTTGTGCCTTTTATACGCCTCCTCGAACGCATCGTTGAACCGCCGGAGAGTCTCCTCCGCCGTTGAACCTCTGGTGAGTGATGAAACCACAGTTCCCCACGCCATCTTCTCGTATTTCTCGAGGTACTGACTCACCTTGACCTCGTGATTGGCCACCCAATCGTCTCCCAGTACGACCCTGAGGTTCGATGCACGGACCTTGATCAGGATGTATCGGAGGTTGTTGGCCAGGAAGAGATACGAGAGAGCCGAGTCGCTGTAAATCCGAGATTTCGCGTCGATTTTGCAGAGCAAGACGAGTATCAACCACGCGAGCCTCGCCGCCATCGTTGAACCAGCGTTTCCGGGGTTTTCTTCGTCGTTGTTGTTGTTGTTGCCTCCGCTGCTAAAGTAATCCTCCGGTAAAGGTAACGAAGACTCCTTGTCCTTGAGAATGGCGGTTAGCGAGTCGCTGTAGTCTGCGAGGAAGACGATGAAGTTCATGACATACCTCGTGAGCTGATGGACTCCGCCGCCGGGAATCGGCGATTTCGAAGACTCTTTCGTAATCGACGATTGGAATTCGATCATCATAGCATTCACAGATTCACCGAGTTTTTCTAGAGACTCAGCCGCTTGCGATCGAACGGAAGCGGTTGAATCGTAGCTGAAAATCTGTTCGATTTTGGGAATCAGATGCAAGATCGTCTGGTAAACGTCAAGCGTGGGGAAGATTTTCTCTGCAGTTTTCCTGCATTTTGCCACTGTTATCGGGAAGATGAAGAGGTTTAACGCGCTTTGTAGCGTAATCTCGGCGAATGAAGACTCGGCGACGGAGACGGAGGAGGAGGAGAAAATGCGATCGCAAAGGATTCGTTCTCCGTTAAATAGAGTGATGATTGCTACTCTCGCAACCCGCAGACAGCTTTTGATCTTCTTCTCCAGAATCTCCCATTCCAGTTTCTGCATCTGCGCAGAATTTAATTTCTCGAATCCTAGCTGAGAGAAAGCTTCGACGATGATCTTTCTTCTGAGTTTCTTATAAATCTTAACACAATCCTTCTCGTAACCAGAGGAGATCATGCAATCCGCTATCATCTTCAAATCCAAAATAGCATCAGCATCTCCTCCTCTCTCGTTACCCAATTCCGACGAAGATTCTGAAGAATCAAGCTCTCCGTCCGATCCAGAATCCGAAGCGCTTCCACTCGATCTCGAAGTTGTGATGGAGTCCGAAGATCCGGAGGACCAGCCGGAGACGGATTCTGGATCCAAAAACCGCCGATTCGATTTCAAAACCCTGTAAAACTCCTTCTCCAAATGCTTCATAGCTGTCCGCATCAATTCCTGCGCTTGAGGAAGCTTAGCGGAGCCAGGATCCACCAAGACCACACTCTGAATCGCGTAGTGTAAACTGCGGAGAACGTCGAGGAAGCGTCTGCCTTCTCCACGGTTTTCGGCGGAGAAAAGGGAATAGAGGCTGCAGGAAGAAGAAGAAGAATCGTAGAGATGTGGAGAAACCCATTGGCGTATGAAAGCGTCAGCTGCCTCCACGGAATCTCCGATTAGAGACTCGGAGAAGCCGTCCTGTTGTGGCCGGAGTTTAGAGGATTTTGACAAGGTAGAAGGTTTCAAGAGCACCATTGTTTTCTTTCTTGAAGAAAAATGGGCCGTACGGTGTGGGGGTATTTATTTGCGCAAATTCTTTGGTTTGTTTGTTTTGGTGGTTTGTTTTTTTTTTTCTTTTCTTGTTGGAGCCGTTGGTTCGGTTCCACTCGGTCAAAATGTACACGCTGTTCTTCCGTCTTTTTCTCTCGTTTTTCTTTTTTCTAATTCGGAAAAAATATATCATCGGCTTCAATTTATACTAAAGTATTTGAGGTATAGTTTAATTTTATGTGATTAAGAGTACGGTTTTGAAATTAATAGGGGATTTGTTGTCAAAGGTTTTCTTAGATATTTAAGATGACAAAGAACACAACACACTTCAATAATAGAGGACAAGAAAGACAAAAAAACTAGTAAGAAAGATAAACGGTGCATTGCATAACAGTCTCGAGCCCATCTGTGAACCGGTGCGGCTGCTGCTGGTTCCCTGAGCCGCCCGTAAAAGTCTTGACAATGGCGTAGCCTCTCGCATTTACGTACTTCCCTGTACCACCCATGACACCAAGATGAGATTCCGATGCAGCCGTTCTATGTACTCCGAAGAAACTTATGCTATCTTCATAACCACCGCTCTCAAACATAGCCGTGAAAGCCATAGTCTGGCTGGTTCCATCCACGGCGCTGGCCACGTAGAATCCCTGGGCTTTACCAAGCAGACCAGACCCAAGTTCGTGCCCTTCGGTTAGTTCGTTGTCCATCACCGTCATTGTCCCGAACATGAGCATCTGAAGAGACGAACCCGATGGGAGCTGACCACCATTAGCCACGGGGAGACCGTTCAAGAGGTTGTTTCCGTTGTTCTGTAAGATGTTGGAAGTGGTACCGCCAAGCCCGACCAGAAGCGGGACATTGTTGTTGTTCAGAATTCCGTTGTTGTTATTGTTTGTTGGAACGCCGTTACTGACAGGGAGGTTCGCGCCATTGGGTTTGGCAAACGGAAGTTGGCCACTGAGGGCTGCGTTTGCAACGACTCCAGTCACAGCCCTGGCTGTCGGATTTGAGCCACCTAATATATCATGCATGAAAAAAATCACGGTGTGATCAGGAACTGAACCACCAATCGCTGACCCTGCACCTGCACCCGCACCCTGACCGGTGGCTGTGCTACCTGAACCAACAGTAGGCAAAGGCCCTGAACCAGCAGTAGGCAAGGGACCAGAAGTAGCACCCAGTGAGGGACCAGAACCGCCGGTTGGTAGAGGACCAGAGCCAGTACTAGGCAAGGGACCCGAACTAGGAACCGGTAAAGGACTAGAACCAGTGGTTGGTAGAGGTCCAGAGCCAGTAAAAGTAGTCAAGGAACCTGAACCGCCTGAGGCTGGACCTGTACCTGATGTTATACCAGTTGCAGGACCTGAACTGGCAGTGGGGAAGGGGCCTGAACCAGCCGTAGGTAAAGGACCAGGACTTGTGGTAGGAAAAGGAACCAACCCAATATCTTCGTCTTCATCAAGAAGCCGAGCAGCTGAGACAAAAGTAACGGCAAGAGCTAAAGCCAGGAGGAAGAGTACCTTGCAGCCTGCCATTGACAAAAGGAAGGATCAGTTACTAAGATTGTTAATTTGACTTCGAGTTAGATAGTTTCTACTTTTCGTGTGATTATACAGGCTGATTCTGGAAGAGCATTTATAATAAAAATGAAGCCAGATTGTTGATGGAAAGAAGATGGAGTTGACGAAACAGAGTAGGTGACAACGTTACCATTATATGGGTGGTTTGGTTTAGAGAAAAACATAACGAAAAAAAAAACCAGAAACTTCAGCTGTAACTTCACCACAAAATCTTGGATGTAAAACATTAAAAGTTCCACTGTGTAAATTAGCCAAAAGACTAAACATTAAAGATCTCTCAGCTCAATGAGGCAAACCTGCATATTTTCCCCTTGAAATAACTTCTTGAATTAAATAAAGAATCAAACCAGAAACTTCACCTGCAACGTTTGTATGTATTGAACTCTACAAAAAAAAAAAAAAAATGTGTGCGACTCTCACCTTTAGGAAGTCACTGCTTAGGTAGAAATCACTTCTGACAAAGCGTCACAACAAGCTCCTCCATCCTTGATGCAGAGATCACAAAGTAGATTTTGCCAAGCACCAGATCCAAAGCTTAGATTTTTCTTTCCCATCACCTCTAACACAAAGCAAGCATGGTCCAAGTTATCGCCTTTTATCAGCCCAGAAACCATACATACAAACGTTGCAGGTGTGGGAGAGTGCCTGCTCGCAAGCATTGCATTCAAAACATTCAACCCTGAATCCAAATCCCCAATACGACAAAACCCGTCAACCATCATACGGTATGTAGCTGCATTTGGCTTACAACCTTTCATCTGCATTTCCGTCAACATTCTGTAAGCCTCGGGGGCTCTACCTTCAGTACAAAGATGGTTTACCAAAATGTTATAGATCACAACATCTGGTTTAATCCGCCTTTTCTTCATCTCGCCGAGTAGAAGCTTTGCCTCATCGATTTTTCCTCTCTTTCCAAGATCACTCATCAAAACCCCATAGTTAACTAGGCCTGGTTTACATCCACGATACTCCATATCAAACATCAACTTCTTCGCTTCATTGTACTCTCCTTTACAACATAAACCTTTCATTAACAACCCAAATGTCACAGGATTCGGGCGTATTCTTTTCTGGATCATATCTTCAAGCAAGCTTTTCGCCTTAGCCAGATCGTTATTCCGGCATAAGAATCCAACCAGGCTATTGTAAGTGACGACAGTCGGTTGCACTTCCATCTCAAGCATTTCATCGAACACCTTGCAGGCAGCTTCCCAATCGCATTTATCAAGAAACCCTTTGATCAATACATTGAAGGAGACTGAGTTCGGACGCAAACGCATATCCTTTGCCCCGTCGAAAAAGCTTTTAGCCTTTTCCAACTCACTATGATCGACCAGGACGTTGATGAGAGTGTTAAGAGACTGAATCGTACGAACACAATCAAAGGAGGTCATTTTACGGAAAACATCGACGGCTTTATCGACGGAACCGGCTTTTCCGTAATGCTGAATCAACGCCATGAAGAGTGATTCTCTGCACCGGACGTTTCGATAGCGGACAAGGCGGAGAACTTGATCGACAGCGTCGAAGTTGCGAGACCTGGCAAGCTTGTAGATGAGAGAAGAGTAAGATGGGTAGTCGTGACGGAAACCCATCTGCTGGTAATGGTGGAAGAGAGAAAGAGATTCCTCTGGGTCTTCGATATCTTTGAGATCGGTGAGAAAAGGCACCTCCTCCCATGGCTTCCTGGTGACCTTGTGAATTGGTTCATGGCTATTGGCTTTCTTTGTGGATTTGACAGATCGAGATGTATGGTAATGCTGTCGCGACGCGATGCAGCGCTTGGTGATTAGAGCAGACAGAGATAGTCCTCCCCGCATCGGGTCCTCTCTGTCTTCTTTCTTGCTCTGTTTCAGCGTAGTTACGCGCAATTCGAATTAAAATGGAACGCTTTTGTATGTTTACTTCAAGTTTCTTCTTTCTATGCCTACTAAAAACGTGATATAATTATATTCCTTTGCTCATATTTTTCTAAGAATTCCATTTTTCTGTATTAGTAAAAATCAATACACATCTTAAAAGATAACTGTTAAACGAACTTTTGGCATTACAATCTTGAAAAACGCTAGTGAATAACTTCTGTTTCCGTTGATGCAGTAATCATCCTAATCATACATTTGAAACATATATAAAACAAGAATCCATCTATCATTGTCTCTCTTCATAAATGATGGTTCTGATCTCGCATATCCAAAAGATGGGGCGTAGACAGCCAAGGAGCTGGCTCATCAACATTGTTGATTGTCCTTGCGAGTCAAGGTCCGCCCAGTCAGGCCTGATGGCTATAAAGCAAATCAAAAACACACAAAAGCTGTAAAACCTAACTAGATGAAGCTGTGACTAAGAGATGCAGAACATTTGTTTGGTTAGAAAAGTTACCATGGATGTGTGTTTTAAGATGGAAATGGTGCAGTTGCTGTTTCTGTGGTCACGCGATAGCATAAGTCTCACGTGTGGGATGCTTTTCCATGTTTCCCCAAGAGCTGGCTTGGTTTTACCACCTTCTCCAGCACCCACCGTGTGGTTCGTCACCTTCAATACAAAAGCAGAGACAAAAAAAGGTTTTAACTTTGAACACTATGACACACCCAATGCCCTGAAACCTCATTAATACCAGTATAGCGATGTTATGTTCGTGTGCCAGCTTCTTCAGCATATATCCAACTGCCACCATCAAAGCGCGTCCTGCAAAAACCAAGTTTGTGACTCTTGAGTCTTTCTTCCAAATCACCAGCTCATCTGTTAACCATTTGGGTGAAGAAAAATGATGGACGTACAAGGACATGTACCCTGTGAGCCACTGCCTCCAAGGATTGGGGTAATCAGAGAAGAGATTGAATCAACGACTAACAACCGTAACCTGTACTCGTTCACATTCATTTGCACCTGTTACAGATAGATAAAAAAATGGTTGACACAAGGAATTTTAGCATACAGTAACAATGAGGATATAGCATATTCTAGCTAGATTTATACCTGCGACCTCAAAGTAACCTCTAGACCTTGCAGCGTATCAAACATTGTAAATATATCATAGACCGTGTGACATGATATTCTGCTCAAGACCTTCTGCACAATAGTATTTCTTACCCGTAAAATTTTAAAAAACTAAGAACTGATGATCAGTAACTGTTCCATAGGCTAGGAGACAAGAATTGCCAATAAATAACCTTTCCTAAAGCAGCATCTGAAGTGGCACAAATAAATTGAGCAATGCGTCGGGCAGAAAAAGAGTTCCCCGTGTCTACATAAAAGACTCTACCAGTTTGCTTTTCTGCCACGCTCGCAGCAGCTTGCATGCAAATCTATTCATTCATAAGAAATCACACAATGTAAAGAGAGAGCGAAAAGGGCTAAGCAAAGACAACGAATCTTACTATCAACAGGGTCTACGATCTACATTTTGAGTTGCAGCTTAAAACGCTCGAATGGAACAATCAACAATCCGTACGGATACAAATATTATGTGAAGTAGCAGAAACAAAACTTTATAACTAGTAATTGTGGATAATGTTTTTCACGCACAAGGCCAAATAAAACTAAATGAATGACTAAAAGAAGCATGTGTATATACATACTTGTGTTTTACCAGAAGATGATGGTCCAACAAGTTCTGTCAGCTGACCCTCACGGAATCCACCTTGAAGCAATGAGTCCATCCTTGAAAACGAAACATTATACCATTGATGAAACACTTACAGAAGCAGAGTCTCAATTGATAACAAGAAAAGTCCCTACCCGTTGTCTCCAGTCGATAGAGTATGTTTATTACGATGTAGATCCTCCAAAATTTCCATACCGTTCAACCATGGCCGACACTGGTGTTCTATCAAAGAAAGCATGTGAGTGATACCCTGAAGAATCCGAAGGCAAACACTTTAGTATACCTTTTGTTAAATTCAAAACTCAGCAAACGTCAACAATCGAGAGTAGAGGTCAGTAAGAGCTAACCTCCTTCAATCTGTCTGCATTTGTCTGTCGTTCAGCAAATGCAGCAAGTTCGTAGAGATCATGAAGAAGGAAATCCTCAACTGCACATTTAACAGATAATAAAAGGGTCAATGAAAACCCATCAACACAAATATAGAAAATTATTGAAAATACTTCCACCATTCCGAAAACTAATCCACTTAACACAACTACGAAGTTTAGGAGCAAACTCAACTCTTGATTTGTACAGTGTATACTAAAATCCAATTTCTTCACCATACAAAAAAAAAACAATCCGTCGAACACCTTATAAACGTAAGCGATCACATATCAGACAGCAGAATCAAGAATACAATCTATTCGATATTTGAAATTGATGAAGTTAAATAACACTAATGGGACTAAGAATTTAGTTTCCAAGCCGTAGATCCCATGTTGGTGCAAACCACCGTTAGTTTTGCAAGCAAGCATGGTAAATGAAGCAGAATCGAATCGAGAAAGCGATGATGTAGAAGAAGAGAAGAACCTGTTAGAATCCCATGGGAGGCGCAGAAATCTCGGAAACATGCGTCGATGATTGGATTGTCCCTCTCGAGATGCTTGAGAGGCGCCATTTTTTACACCTGACTTTGACACTGGAAACGAATCTTCAATTAAAATTAATGGCCACCGGTTCGTTAAAACGACCCAGACTCGGAGTCCCGGTTGACTCTAATCCTAAACCGCAACCCGGTAACGCTAAACCAGTATTGAAAGCTAAACATTTATATGGAACGAAGCAACCAATTTCAATTATTATTGTCTTCGAATTATCAGAATGTTTTAGAAAATGAAAGCAAATTTCACTATTTCAGTGTCCTTCATTTGCTATTTTACATTTCTATTTAAAAAAATATTGAGTACCTCTTTTATTTAATTTTAAGAAAATCTCATAGTAATTTGCTGCTAGTTTTCTTCTTCTTTTTCACTTTCCAAATCATTTTATTCCATTTATAATTGATCTTTGAACATTATCAAAGATTACAAATGATTTTTTTTTATCAAATTTCTATTTTTAAAAATTATATACACATGTGCAGTTGTGCATTAGATGGTTTTAATTTGTATACATGTGTCGATATCTGATAAACTAATATGTTTTAACAGAAAGGAAACAAATCTTATAATCAGTGATTAAAAATAATGTGGCACATAGATAAGAAGAAATGCATAAAATTTGATTAAAATATAAAATACACTACCTAAATTTGACACTTGACTATTACAAACATTACTCCAGTCTCCATCTATATAATAGCTTGACCATAACATCTCAACATCAACATCTCAAGCTTTTTGTAAGAAAAATAAAAATAAAAATAAGCCGAGTTAGTTTGAAGAAATCGCTGAAGTTATAAAATGAAGTCCACAACTGTAACATGTATCGCAATTGTGATAATCGTTGTGTCGTCTTTGGCTCCGACCAAAGCAGTCGCGGAAGAGGAGAAAGTGACATGTGACATTCTACAACTTCAGCCATGCCTACCAGCAGCACAAACCGGAAGTAAACCAACGACGGAATGTTGCGGAAAATTAAAAGAACAAGAGTCATGTCTGTGTGGTTACACAAAAAACCCAGCGTATAGTCCATATTTTTCAGCCGATATTGCTCACAGAATCTTAGAGGCTTGTGCTATACCTTATCCTACTTGTTGAAGGTTAAAATATTTGTAAAATAGTTATTATGTTAAGATAATAAGATTGTATGCAATAGTATTTGATCATTAAGAGTTTAATGCATCATGGTTACCTGATTTAATAGTGGTAATTTCTTATAGAGATCGATTTAAATAAAAAAATATCACACAAATTCAATCTAATTCATCCTAACCTTGTCGTGAAGACTGAAGAGAGCATGGGTTTTTGTTAAGAAATGAGCTTTGGAGATCAGTTTACAATTATAATTTATGAATTATGGAGTAAACTACCGACTATTTAGAGATTTAATATATTCAATTTTCTATGAACAAATAGTGAGTACCTTTTTATTTAATTTTATGAACATAAATCTCATAGTAAGTAGAGCTATTTTTCTTCTTCTTTTTCACTTTCCAAATCATATTATTTATAATTAATCCTTGATGAGCATTATCAAATATTATAAATCATTTTCATATCAAATTTCTATAATTAAAAATAGTATTATAAAAATCCAATATATATATATATATATGTGCAGCGATGGTTTTAATTTTGTTATACCAAATATTTTCACTTTTTTCCTCAGTTAAATACTTTAATTTTACCATAAATATGACATTACTTGCAAAAGTTTATAGTTTATTATTATGTAGCTTATTTTAGAGAAATTGCAAACATGTAACATAATCTCTAAATATGTCAATAAAATTAATATGGTTTTAATAGAAAAAATCACATGACTAATGATCAAAACAATGTGTCACATAGTTATGAAATGCATAAAATTTAAATTTAAAAACAAGATACACTACCTAAAATGCAGACTTGCTTATTACAAACTTTAATTCAGTCTCCATCTATATAATAACTTGACCATCAAACACCTCAACATCAACATCTCAAGCATTCTATTTTGCAAGAAGAAAAGTATATATAATTAGTTTGAGGAATCGCTAAGGTTATAAAATGAAATTCACAACATTGATATACATCGCATTTGTGATAGTCGTTGTATCGTCTTGGGCTCCGACCAAAGCAATCGTGGAAGAAGAGAAAGTGATATGTTACGCGAAAGAACTTTCACCATGCGAACCAGCAGCACAAACCGGAAGCAAACCAACAACGGAATGTTGCAAAAAACTAAAAGAACAAGAGTCATGTCTGTGTGGTTACGCAAAAACGTATAGAAAGTATATTTCTTACGAAGGTGCTCGCAAAATTTTAGAGGCTTGTGCTATACCAATTCCTACTTGTTGAAGATTAAAATATTTATAAAATACCAAACAGTGTTCAGATAATAAGATTTGTATTTGAACATTAAGAGTTCAATGCATCGTCGTTTACCTAATGTTCATTTTCTTATACAAATCAATTTAAATAACAAAAAATCACGCAAATTAAACCTAATTCATCCCAATCACCTCCTGAAGGAGTTTGAAAATTTTAAATCGTTAAGAAATGAACCTTGTAGCTCTATTTGCAGATATAAATATGGAGTTCACTACAGACGATATATAAAGTATTTTTTTTTAAGTTTACAAATGAACCGTGTCGTAATTTCTAAACGGAATTAGCATTCAAGATATATAAATTTTTTTGTCAAGTTTAATCTTCTATAATATTTCTAAAAACTAATTTATTTAAAATAAATAATTTAATCCTATTAGAGATGTAATTTTATTGTATAATGTCTAATGAAGCTGATTCATGGCATAATAGACCAAGTTCGTTCATATTCGACCTGTGGACATATCTTCGTCTTAAAAAGAATCCTATTCGAAAAAAAATCTATAAACTTGTAAGAAGATGAACATAAAAAGTGCTTTTAATTGTTTATTTATTTGAATAAAAAACGTAAAAGGTTACCTAAGAGAACAAGAACCGGTGCAGGAAGAGAACCAAACCCCTAAAAGTTCTAAACTAAGAATACTTCCGTGAATCACAAGTAAAGAAAAACCCTCAAGAGGGGGAAAAAAAAGCATATGATAAAAAAAAAAAAGCTGGTTCTTGATCTAGTCTCTTCTCCTTCAGTTGGAAGGAGGGAAGAAAATGGCGTCTGAAGTCCTCTTTGAACGGAATGACTTCTCCACCTCCGGATCCACTTTAAAAGTCGCCTGCAAAACCTCCGGGGACAAAGCCTTCCACACCGATGTCCTCCCAGCCAAATGTGTGAAAATTGGACTACAAATACACAAGCAAAAAGTATCAACCTTCTGGTTTCTTTCAATCTAAAAACTCAATAGGAGAGCGCAGCAGAGAAAGGTAGGAAAGATTTCTTACTCAGGAGTAGTGACAATGGAGAACCAAGACATGCCATCAGAATCAGCAATCTTTGAAACCACAAAGAACCTTGGAACAATGAAGAGAGAACCAGCCTTGATATGAGTCTCAAGAACTCTCTTCCCATCAGCACCAACCACCTGGACTCTTCCACTCCCACCAACAATGTATGTCACCTGAAGAGCCGAGTCACAAGAGAAACCAGGAGAACACATGGAATGTCCGTCGATCCGAACAAGATCAGCTCCAAACCCAACCTCCCCAACCAGAGGAAGGTTCTTGGTGTTCAACACGACGACTCTTCCACCGTCCTTGATGTCTACATCAAGAGGAGCCTCCAAACAGTTCAAAACAAACCCATCACGGTCCTCTTTCTTGGGCTGTGGCATCTTGAAACCTGCATCTAGCTTCACAATGCCTTTCCCGGTCTGAGAACCGACGAGTTTCTTCACGGTGCTCTCATCAAGGTCCCAGGCTCTGCCCACAAACTCAGTGGAGAAGCCAGTGAAGATTCCGTTTGAGCCGGTGAGGTAAAAGTCAGTGAACTCTCCGGCTTTGTGGCCCTTGTGGGTTTCTCCGAGGAAGAGAATAACAAGCTCGGTTTCCTCGTTGTTGAACCACCATGTGACCACACCAAAGGGAAGAGCAATCGAGTCACCTTTCTTGATAGCGATCACTTTCTCCTCCTTCTCAGGAAGGACAATTCCGGCAGTTCCAGATCCTGAAATCAATAAAAGTAAAGTCACAATTACTCAATTCCTTACACGCTAGGTGATTAGATCAACGATGAACACATGATCACTAAAGAAGCTAGCAAGAAAAGCAAAAGACCACTTTATTGGCACATGATCACTAAAGAAGTGTGCAAACAAATCAAAAGACCACTTTATTGGCACACAGTAGTCGTGATCTATTTAACTTTCGTATTAGGGATCATCCTTTCACTTTTTACAGTTTTTGGAATCATGAAATTAGGGTGAATCGAAGATTGTAGTCCAAGAATCCGATCAGATTATAGATCGCAGAAATCACAATTAACCCAATCAGAGTAAATACACATGAATCACTATAAAGTTGACAACTTTGGAAGGAATTTCATAAGATCAGAACATAGAAACGATCCCAAAACCATCATATGAACTTAATCAGACCCATTTAACAAAAAAAAAACACATAAATCGCAATAAAGTCACCAACTTTGGAAAGAATCCGAACCTTGAAGAACATAGGCCACCTTAGAGGAATCAGAGTAGCGAGGAACAGCGAAGCCATGCTGCTCAAGAGCAAGCTTTGCGGCTCCAATGTTACCCTGCTTGAGCATCGGCAACTCTTCTGGGCACCACGCAGAGTAAGATCCTCCGTCTCCTCCATAAACCTTCTTCGGCAGCTTCGGTGTAAGATCCAACTCCATCGTTTCAGTTTCTCTAAAACTCAAAGATCGGCAAAAGAGTAAAGAAAAGGTTTTGGTAAAAAGTTTATTTTTTGATGAGATTGTGAAGAAGATGCGACGCTTATATATATACAACAGGGGAGAGGGTAAATCCCGTTAGTAACGGGGATAAATTCAGGGGAAAACAAATAGTTTTTGATTGCGATATGATTCACATCCGGATAACTATCGTATTTAATGTTTTAATCAAAATTTTATCTACAGTATTTCTTTTTGTTCACGATCTTACTAATTTATTTCCGGGATTTCTATAATTTACAATCGTTGAATTTGACTCTACCAAATAAAGATGTTTGGGAGAACAATTTTTTAAGAAAACTTAAGTCATCATGTTCTTCGTTTGATTTAAATAAATAAATATAATATTAATTAGTAAATGGGCTTACTGAACGTGCTGAATTATTGGATGATCAAATCCTTAAAATATCTGTTATAAATATTATTTCAATCTGTCACCTTGTTTTTTTCAGTATGGTAATCTAAATATTATATTTTCCTTTCTCGCCTTTAGATAGGATTAAGGGGTGATGAATGAATAATCTTGTCTAATCTTATCGTCTAATTATCTACCAGAATTTCATATTAATGATTTTTTTTGTAGGATGAGAATTTGCTGACATGATTGTGTACTATCCAAGATTTTTAGGGATTTATCCAATAATACAATTTGCAACAGTCTGATTTTAATTTTGTTAATATGATTTCTAGTCAGCAAAAACGTGACCGATTAGTTTAAACTTAAAAGATAGAATCTTTGACAAAAAGGTAAAAGATAAAATCCATTTATTTTTGTTACAGCAAAAAATCTTTTATCCATTATTTAATTAACTATTTTATATCAAGTCTCCTGGCGCGTAGTTCTCTATAGCCGAAAGAAATGTAAATATTTAGGCCCAGCAACGTGGAAACCAATTACAACAAGCCCATGTGAAAAAGAAAAAAAAAAGAGTGTGGCTGCTGGGATTCGAGCCCAGGTCTCCACGGCCACAACGTGGAATTCTCACCACTAAACTACAGCCACTTGATGGCTATTATGATCACATTAAATGTATTTATATTTAATTCTGTTTATTTCACAATTGATTTGGCTGCATACCAATCAGCATTAGACAACTAATCTAGTTTCCTTCTTATATAGGTTAACCAGTTTTTTATTGTCGTCTAAAGATTAAAACCATTAAAGCTTGGATTCTAACAACATATAATATAAATCACAGCTACTTAACGTGATCCGTCAAAACGGGTAGAAGAAATAGAGATCGATACTGATACACAACAGAAGACACTTAGTTTGAGACAAGGACTTGGTTAGAGCATATGCAAGTTTAGCAAACGAAGGATGCATTCAAAACCTGGAAAAACTTGATTGCACAAGATCACAAACTTGATTGTACAAAAGACTGTCACAACAGAAAACTTTGAAGAGCTAATGATTGAATGTTAATTTTTTTATTATCCGAGTGCAATTCTTGATTTCTTGTCCTGTTGAGACTAGCAGATTTTATTCGGCTTCACATTACCCCCGAAAATGGAAAAAAATAAAATAAAAAAATTGTATTGCGGACCCACAAGTAACTTGGCGTTGCCATCAGAGCAGCAAGGAGTAACATTTTTGCAGAATATAAATTCGAGATGGAAAGCAAAAACATGTTGATTGGTTTTAGAAAATTTGAGTTTTCCTAAATGGGAACATGCAGCGTGTTCGGCGTAGAACCTGCCAACGCCCAACATAACCTAAATTCCCAAAGTAAAGTTGATGTAATGAAATCACAAAAGTTAACCAGTTTTGGTAACCTCGTCAAATCGACACATCGACCAGTGGGAAGAAACAACTAGGCAATGAGGACTTCACTTTCTTTCTACTTTTGTGACGACCAACCAAATGTTTTTTTTTTCCAAAATCGTAAGCAACTCAATGTTGCTCACCTCAATAATTAATATTTTTTTAAAAAGGGTACAGCAAAAAAGTGAAAAAAGTAGTAATAATGGGTCTCAGGTCAGCTTAGTTAATGGTTCGAAGCATATACTTTCGAAGATACTCTCCCCAATTACCACCTTTTTTTGTCTATAAACCCAAAAGGAAACGTCTCTCTCATTTGGCTTCTCATTTGAGGTCGTTCAGGCCATCAATGGATGATGCTCATCAGACCTTCCCCTCTCTCTCTCTCTCTCTCTTGTCCTTACATATATACATAATAACATATATCTACATATATATACATGAAGGTACTTACGAGCTCCAGGCGCGGGAGAAAAGATGAGCGGCCACGGAAATAAGGCCGGAGACGGGAGAGTGATCCGCAGACCATTTTTCTAATAAGGTGTGATTGATTTTATGGGACAAATTTAGAATTAGAAAATTGGGCAACTATGTACCCTTTGGCAGTCCGTTCTTGTTTCTTGCTTCTTGCTGTTCTTGAAGAGTTTTTTTTTGTTTGTTTTTTTTGTCACGGTTTGTTTATTGATGAGATCATGAGAACAACAATGATGTGTTAGCTTTTTAGTCTTATTTAATTGAAATTTACGATTTCTACTTTACCCACAACATTGTATTAGGCCATTGCTTTAATGTCCTCATCAGAAAAGAAAAAAACGTTTCTTCGTCTAACCTAACAAATTCTCTGTGTATGAAATAAAGTAGTGTTCAAGAAGACCTCATTCATGATTTGGTGCTACTAGAACTAGATATAAGCCTGTCTTAGTGATCCGTGAAAAGAAAGAGGAAAGGTAAGAGACTGACTAAATTAGAGACCTTAGATATGGTAATGAGTATAACGAGAGAGTACTTGAAATCCAAACGAATCTTTTAAGAACTCGACAGCAAAAAGAGTAAATTCAAGAACTATCCGACAAAGTTAACACAAAATTCGAAAGAAAAACAAAGGAAGTTTCAGAAGAAATGGAGGGAAAAAGTTAAAAAATAACGGAATAAACGTCATTTCCCACAATAAAATTTTCAGTAGAAGAAGCCGAGAACCTTGCCTCCGGCATTCTTTCTCCTGGCTTCTTCATGGTCCATAATGCCCGCGGAAGTAGTCAGCACGATGTACCCAAACTGCAAAATTTCAGAAAATATTCAATCCATTAATACCATTCAAGATTCTCAAAACTCAAGACTAGATAGCTTAAAAACTAATTCAAAGTGATTCTATTTCTCAAGCTCATCTTTATGGTTAAAAATGGCTATTCAAGACATTTTATAGAATAATTGCATGCCAACGTAGCTAGAAAAAAGACATAACAAGACCGAACCTGTCTGGAAGGAAGCAAACGGGCAGTCCAACCTTCAATCTCCTTGACACCAACATCAAAACGAGGGCTGATAACGCCACACTTGTTCAACCTTCCGTTTAATTCGACGACGATTTTCCCAGATCGATGGTCATCGACATACTCAAACTCACCGATGTAACCTGCATTGGAGTGATAACCAAACCAAACAACCTAAGAAACGAAACTCAAGCGTATAGAGGGAGGTAATTAACTATATATTGAAATGGTCGGGAAAAATATACCGTGCTTCTGCATGACCATAAGAAACTTGATAATCACTTTTGAAGACGGCCTGATCATGACCTGCCTCTTGCCTCGTTTCTCGGCATTGTACATGCTCTTCAGAGCATCGTTTAGAACACTGATTCTCACCATTTTCTCCTTAGCTCAAGCCTCTGCTAAATAAACAAAGTCAAACAGAAAACAAGAGCTTGAGTTAACAAAAGTCAAATAACTAACTCCAACAAAATTTGCAAACAAAAAAAGCTTGGAGTTTTAGCTGATATTGGTTCAGAGCAGGAACGATATAACCGTAAGTCATTCATGATACAACACACATTATTTTGCATCTTAAAAATCGATTTCAGAGAAATGAATTAAAGGAAATCGAAAAAAATCCAGAAAAAAATACAAACCAAAAGTGACTAATTCGTTACCAACAAAATCAAGCGTTCCTAAGTTATCAATGAATGTTAACAACAACATAAAAATCGTCACACAAGCACTGAGATCCTAAATTCTCTGTTGCGAATCAACAGATAAACCAAACCCAAGATCAATCAACTACATAGCATACGAACGAGCTCGCTCACTTCTCTATATGAACGAATAAGCTACGAGAGTCACGACTTGTCGTACCTTAGTTTGGCAGCTCGAGAGGCAGGGCGCTCAGTGACGGAGAAAAGCAATTAGAGGAAGAAGAGAAGGAGGGCTAGGGTTTTCTTTATCGTTTATATACTAGCGCAAAAAACAAAAAAAAAAACAAAGGAATGATGTTTATGCGCTGCGTTTTGAGCTACCTTTTAGGCCCAATGGGCTTCTTCTCCACGATCATTTTTGGAAACTCCTTTTACTACATTTGTTGGTTTATTAAAATTGTTCGTTTTGAATGAAAACCTGCCAAAATTTTCACTTCTATTGCTTTCTAACATTCCAAAAACGATCAGAGTCCAATTAGATCTTGCAAAATGCATCTTATTCGAGACATTGAAATGGAAGAAATGAAGATTTAATTGTAACTTCACCTATCGTAATCGCTCTGGTTATACGCAAGCCATTAACATCAGATATAGGTGAACCCACTAAAAGCATAAGATCACTGTCAAAATCATATTAAATTTCTCCTGAATCAATCCCAACCCCTCATTCTTCTATATTACAAATAGGCTTAATGCAGAACAACAGATCTGAGTTCAGGAGGAAAGAGCATAATTCCAAATTCAAAACTATAAAACAATATGTCTGAAAATTGTTTTATATCCAAGAGAAATAAAAAAAAAAACACAGCTTGATAATAATTTTTGTTTTAAAAAAAAATTGTTTTAGACAGAAAACGTGGGAGTCTCAAATGGGAAGGAGAAGACCCGGAAAGGAAGGGCAAAAGGAAGAGAAGAGTTCAAAGGGAAGGGCAAATTCGTAAATAAAAACTGAATGTCTTTGAGGAAAGAAGAGCAGTTAGTTTGAACGTGCAAGAAGCAGTCTTTCCATTTCCAAACACACGCACATCAAACAGGAGCCCAAAACAAAGCTTGTTAGCTTTTGCTTATCGATCCCACAGTCTTTTCGTTTTTTCTCATAACAAAACCTAATTCCTTTTTTTCCACCTGATCGGAATGTATCACCGTTTTCCGTCGCTAATGGAGCCGTTTCTCCGGAGAGTCTCGGCGCGTTGGCCTGTCATCGTTCAGGCTGCCACGTGGACGGTTCTCCTGATGTTTACTGTCGCCGTCGCTTCTTTCGCTCCGGAGCTGGCGTTTGTCTCGACGGTTTCGTCTTCGTGCGCCGGAGGAGATGGGTTCGTGAAGATTCCGACGGATTTTCCGGGGGAGAATGTCTGTGTTCCGTCTCATATGGTGAAGAGATCCCGTTTCGACTTGTTCGTGCCTTCGATCTTCGCGGCGGTTATGGTTACGGCGTCGGCTTGTTTGATCCGATCGTGTTTTGGGACGGACAATATGGAAGATGGCTTTTAACACACAAAAAAATTAAAAAATATGGATAATGGGTATAATTATTGTAATTAATATTTTTTCATAAAACTTCATACATTTATACGCTGCTTATACATGCTTTCTTAAGTTGAGTCGTAGATTCTTGTATTTTAAAAATAAAAGTGTGCTTTAGATATCCGACAATTTAATCATCTGTTATTCACGACTAACAATGAAAAACAACTACGGTAACGAATTAAGCACAAAATTATGGTCTCCACTGTCTCTACCCTCAATAACAACTGAGCTTAGTTTTACTATCCTTTTAAAAAACTACGTTTTAATCTTAGATTTCTCATGCTTTAAATAGAAAACCCTTATTACAAAAAAAAAATTTACCTTTTAGGTTTTGAGTATTTGTTGAGTTATCATTTACTGAATTACTATAGACTCAATTTCCATAGAAATGCCAAGTAAAATATTAACCCAATCTTAAATTTTGTCCCATAATAGCTAAACTCACTCTTGACTAATCTTAAATTAGAAAATTAAATTATCCTTGTTTCAAAAAAAAAAAAAAATTAAAGTTCACCAAAAAAAAAAATGTGTGTGTTGTGTGTTACGTCAAACAAACGGGTGCACACTTAACTCTCAGTGAAAACGTAAGTTTGCGGGACCTGGTATAGGCCCAAATCAGATCCATATCCCATTTATAATAATAGGCCCAACTAAAAAAACACAAAAAGCTCACGTGGCAGCAGTGAGCATAGACACGAAGCTGCATGCAGCCGCCCACGTGTTGAGCTCACCGTAAAGAGAGATCTTCTTATGTGATTGCAATAGACGTGTGATGTTTGATGAAGCTTCGGATCGAATCAGAATTTGAATCGGAACGATTGAAAAGAATGGCGTCGAATATTATGAGACCGGCGTTTGCTTACACGGTTGTGTACGTGAAGGACGTCGCTAAATCCGTAGAGTTCTACTCTAGAGCCTTTGGTCACAACGTCCGTCGTCTTGACGAGTCCCACAGGTTTTTCTTTTTATTTCGGTTTGTTAAATCCTTTTTAGACATAAATGCAGATATTTTGATCGATCTGATCATATATATCTAATTTGTCCAATATGGTTTCTATATATATGTGCACATTTCAACTATCATGATAATTTGTTGTTTGGACCACAATTTATATATTGTTGCTGCCGGCTCAATGACCAATGATGCATACAGGTGGGGGGAGCTAGAGAGCGGGCAAACGACGATAGCGTTTACACCGATTCACCAGCATGAGACGGACGACCTGACCGGGAAGGTTCAGTCTACACATTCAGCCCGTGAGAGAGCACCCATCGAAGTCTGCTTCTGTTACCCCGATGTTGATGCCGCTTTCAAGGTATAACTCTCTCCTACTCTGTTTCAACTAATACTTAATTACGCTAAGCCCTTCGATATTGGGTTAATATATGAGCGAGATGGTGCTTTGTGTAGAGGGCTGTGGAGAACGGTGCGGTGGCAGTGAGCGAGCCGGAGGACAAGGAATGGGGTCAGAAGGTTGGATACGTGCGAGACATCGATGGCATTGTTGTACGCATCGGTAGCCACGTTAAGTGAATAAAATACAGAGACTAGATCAGGAAACATGGTCGTAATTAAGACACTAAGTACTATATATGCATACAAATAATACAAGATATATACTATGGGTACTCTTTTTCTTTTTTGTGTGGTTTGGATATTCTCTCTAAAGCAAAAGTGGAAAATAAAAAGTTTTACAAAGTGCCATTCCTAGACCCACGACTCTAATTTTGGTTCTACATATTTTATCGTTGCAAGGATTAGGAAACTAATTAATTAACCAGCCTATTAAAAGGTTAAGAGGTAGACATTCTGGAGGGATAATAAAACGAAGACGAAACTCTGCGTCTGAAATCATCATTTGTTCTAAACTATCATCTTTTCACTGTTATTTTGTTCTAAACTATCATCTTTTCGCTGTTATTTGTTTTAAACTATCATCTTTCATCATTTCGCTGTTATCAATCCCTCAGATTCGTAGTTTGGGGTTTTCTACTATCAATCTTAATCACTCGATGGTTCCACAACTCCAGAAAATAACTAACAATTAACAAACAAGGCTATAAAGTTCTTAAATTTTTTTTTTTTTTTTGTCTTTACTTTAGTGTTATACGTTTGTGAATGCTTTTGCTTCCAAGTGTGTGTGATTCGCCGACTGTCAAAGTAAAAGCTAAACCAATAAATACAAGAAGACCTGTCGTTTTTGCTCTTTGAACTAAAATCAATAGTTTTTTTTTTCTTTCCTCACAATGATTGATGAGACTCAGTTATCCAGTGAAAAAAAAAGAGACTCAGTTATCCAGTGAAAAAAATATTTGTAATCAACGGGGACTGGGCGAAATATAACCTTTACATAAACTTTGAATTCCCCTTTTTTCTTGTTTGCCAGCTAGTTATTTACATTGAATCTAATAAACATAAATATGTACTGATAAAATCAAATTTAATTTGTGTAAAGCTTTGTATCTTTAACACAAGAGAAAACATTCATTTTTCTAACGACCGAGCAAAACCTTAAACAAAAGATAGATTAATCTCATGGTCACTGGTAGAAAGCCGAATCTTCGTCCACTAAGTGTAAAAAGAAATGTAAATAGATTAACCTGCTTTTTTTTTTTTTGTATGCTCCCATTATTGCTTTATTTTTGTTTATGTTCTGCTCTTGCTTTATTTATTTATTTATTTTAAATATGACAAATGAAATATGAAAGAAAACTAGGGGCCTATGGGCTAGGAATAGTTTAGCATTTACTTACTCATTACCCAAGGGAAACAAAAAGGAATGGCTAAACAACATCCACAACTTATTAACACATGCCTTTGAACCAATAGAAACAGACCAATAATAATATCTATAATCATGAAACTTTGAAAAATTATTTCAACAACTTTGATAATTGAATAACAAAATAGTAAATACGATGAAACAAGCGACATGAGTAAGAAACAATGTGTATTTTGCAATAAATTCTCCATTTTCAACATATATCCGAGATTTCTACAAATACTTTTGAAAATTTATATACGGTTTTTTGTTGGTTTGTGTATAAGTTTAGCTTTATTTTCTTCGTCAACCGAATCGATTTTAGAAAACAAAATGTTTGAGATAATCAATTTTTATCTATACTATAATTTTCATAAAATTGTGTACTACTACTTCTAATCTAGTACTTAATAAATTGATATAAAATAAGACATCACAAAGTACAGCATCTATAATCAAATATTGGCGACTGAAGTGGTCCATATATAAGCTCTTTACCATTACCTACTTCCTAATTCCTATATGTCTTTCCCTCTATATCTTCTTTACAAGCTTTTTGCGGAGAAGTGATAGAACAATATTTTATTATTATTATTATTTTTTTTGTTTTAAGAAAAGATGATTTCTTTCCGTGGCAAGTATTTCATCATCATCATCTTCACACTGATTGTCCATGGGCGTCTTGGATTTTCTGACAACAATAAACTCCATGAGGCCGAAGGTACGAAGTACTCTTTAGAACCCATCTTATTTTAATCGTTTCCAACTACGAAATTAAACAAAAGATTCTTCCTTTTATATCGTATCTCGTACGTGTATGTGTATATATGCATCTCTGTCCCCTTCAGGGTAATTTGAGAAATTTGGAAATTAAAGCACTTTCCTAATCTGTGATGATGATGATGATTGTTTGTTTTGAACTGAAATTGGGAAGTGAGAGCACTAAAGGAGATAGGGAAGAAGATAGGGAAGAAAGATTGGAACTTTCAAAAGGATCCATGTAGTGGTGAAGGCAATTGGATTGTCACCACTTACACAGCCAAAGAGTTCGAGAGTAATATCACTTGTGATTGCTCCTCACTTCCTCCGAACTCGTCTTGCCACGTCACCCGAATGTAAGTAGTCTCTTCTTCTTCTTCTTCTTCTTCTTCTTCTTCTTCTTCTTCCTCCCCTTATCTTCTTTATTTTTCACCTATTTTTGGTATATACAAAATATCTCTAATCTAACATTGGTGTCGGTGCCAAGCCATAAACTGTACATTTGGTTTTGATCATCAGTGAATCCAGTAAAATAAACAAGGGGTATTGACATTTCACCGTTAGAATTTGCTTTGGCATGGAATATTTAGGAGTTTCACGATCTGCACAATTTTACTTATTTTTGTTAAAAAGTCCTTAAGCTAACACGTTCGGTAGTATGGTCACGAATTACTTCCTTCGTAATCGTGAGTAGGTTTGTAGATTTAATTATCTTTTTCATTAACTGCACTACGCACGCGCTTTAATAACAGCCGCTAACTATATACCCTGTTTTTTTTTATGGGTAAATTTGGGAAGTTGTACTATTTCGGGCATTGCAGAACTAGTATACATATATACTAAACCAATAGGATCGTATTATATAACGTGACGTTGGAAATTTTAAAAAGAATAAAATAAAATTCTACATTATATACTGTATAAGCTTATTCTACTGTTTTTGTTTTCTTCTTTCGCTAATATGCACTTCTCCAATGTTCTAGTTCTAATATCTTACTAATTAAAGTCTGAAATGTTCTAGTTCTACTACGTTATATTACTGATCAGACTGACATTTTAGTTAGAAAACATGATTTAAAGCATAATCGGTTTTAGGATGACTAAGAGAGTTAATCAAGAGTTTGGTGGAAGTACAAAGCACTTGCAAAACTAAGATTAAAAAGCTTTTAGTTAGGGTTGTCTCTTTGTGACGACAAGTTTACTTGCCAGACTGGACATTGACTGCTGATCGTTGACCCATCCGTTGACGCCAAAGTTCCAAACTAATGAAACGATTCAAAAGAAAATAACGCGTTTGCTTCAGCTGTATTTAATACTAGTAATGACTAGAAATGTGAGCGAGACTTAATAAATCTATAACGACCAAAGTATTGATGATACATGGAAACTAATCCAAACAAGATATTTCTTGTTATTAATTTTTCTTAAAGTTTCAACAAATTCAAGTTTTTTTCAATTGTTTAATAATTTTCGGAAATAATAAAAGATACTGTATAAGTGTATATGAATATGATTTATATAACATCCACTACTTAATTAGTTGCATGATTTGAAAATGTTTTCATTAACCAATAAAATTAATTTAGTTTGTTTCATATTTACATAAAGAAAAAATAGCATAAACGTACTTTATCAATTTTATAAATATCAATTTAAAAACATAATATTACAAATTACTGATGCGTTATATATCATCACAATTACACCTCATCGCATTTATTTTTTTAGTTCATTGAATTGTTTGTTGATTTTCTTTGTTTTATAACTTACACTTCAATATATAGAAATTAGCCCCCAACAGTTTTAAGATGTTTCTATACCGCCCCAAAAGTTGCAGTTCCTTCCAAAAATACCCTCTTACTAACGATTTTTTTTTTTTGGGGGGTTACTGATCATATATTTGTGGGTAAATCGTAATCCTATATCCGGTTTAACGTCATATCCGGTTTAACGTCATATCCGGTTTATTATCGCAGAGCACTGAAGTCGCAGAACTTAACAGGCACCGTCCCTCCAGAGTTCTCTAAGCTTCGTCACCTCAAAGTTTTGTAAGTGATCAAAGGTTTCAGATTTCCATACTTTCTTCAAGTTTAATCATAGAAATGGCTCTTAACACGTACAATTTGGTGCAGAGACCTTAGCCGTAACTATCTAACTGGTTCCATTCCAAAGGAATGGGCTTCTATGCGCTTAGAAGATTTGTAAGATCTTCTATCTTACTTCTGTAATGAATTGAAAATATAATCTTTTTTCTTTATTAAAATCTGTCGTCTTTCATGGGGTTGATGGATATATCTCCTATATTGATGTACATACACAGATCTTTCATGGGGAACAGATTGTCTGGTCCATTTCCGAAAGTCTTAACCCGCATTACGACCCTCAGAAACCTGTATGTTGTTGTTAAACTTAACTTAAACAGGCTGAGACTTTTCTGGTTATGTTTGAAAAATATTGCATTTTGATTCTCGAGCTATTAATGTATATTTGAATGTGTTCATCATTTGGAATTATGTAGGAGCCTCGAAGGAAATCAGTTTTCAGGACAAATCCCTCGTGAGATTAGAAAGATGATTCATTTGGAGAGGCTGTAAGCTTATCTTCTCTCTTTTCATCTTACAAAGCTTTTCGTGAATACTCTATCTATATATCGAAATCCACAATTGGTAGGAATGTTTTCTCAAGACATCTAAAGCCATTTGGCTTCTTATTCATTATCTTATCATATTCTCTGTTTTTGACTCAGTCATCTTCCTTCAAATGCCTTCACTGGACCATTGCCCGAAGAACTTGGATTGCTCAAGAACATGACTGATATGTAAGAGATTTAAGTGTTGATACATAGTTGATATGACTAACAACAAATAAACAAATTTAGTCCTTGTTGGATAATTTATTTATTGTATTTGCGGGGATTGTAGGAGGATAAGTGATAATACTTTCAGTGGACGAATACCAGATTTTATCGGCAATTGGACAAGAATAATGAAACTGTAAGATTGTATTTTTTCCTCTGTATGTACTTGCATATCCTCAAGAAAGAAAAATAAAAACCAAAGACGGTGTTTTTGCAGGCAGATGCATGGTTCAGGTTTGGATGGTCCGATACCTTCCAGTATTTCTGCCTTGACCAGCTTGACCGACCTGTAAGCCATCGACAAACTACTTCTTTTCGAA